CAGCAATAAGTAAGGGGACTGCAAGTCAGGTTCTTCAGCACTGCTTTTGGTGCTGGCATCCCCGGGGATACCAAGCAAGCAGTTCAGTGTCCTTGCATCCCAGTTTAACTCTGTAGAAGCAGATAAGAAACCCAAATAAACATGGCTATGGGTACCCTGTCATCTTAGCTCTCCATTTTGCTCCCAAACCTGGTCCCCTTGCTGGATCATAATTCCCTTGGTTTGGATTCCTCTGGTCAGAAGATGCCCCATGAGCTTAACGTGCATTTGCTAAGTAGGTGGTTGGGTCCAATGTGGACATGAAGAGCATTGACAGTGATGCTGGAGGGACTTGAAGGTTGTGAGGGCATCTGCTCTCTCAGAGATGACTCGGGGTTTGGCTCTTGGCTGCCCCAGTGTTGGAGGAGGGCATTTTGTCTGGGGCTGCTAGGAAGATGTGGGCTGCTTCCTTCTGGAGCCCAGAGGATTAATAAATTCTGAGAAAAATGCATTGCAGCTCCTGGAGAATCTCTGCCATCACCCTCCCCAGGGCATTTCCAGGAACAAACCCCACAGTTTATTTTTGCATGCCCACGAAAGCATTTAGCACCCAGAGCCCAACGAGGGCACCGCCGAATTGTGCTGCCAGGTGCCTCATCTATCAGAGGGACAGGGAAATTTGGAAGAGGGAGCCCTCCCTTGCAGAGATCCTGATGTCTCCTGCCAGTCTACGAAGCTGTTAGTCCAGCACCAGAAACAAAAGCAAGAGCCCTTTTGCAACAAGGCTTGGGTATTATATGACCAGCCGGGCAGATTCTGGCACGCAGCCTCTGCTCTTAGGAAATCAAGTAGACTCTTTGTCTGCTTTCCAGCAGGAACTGCTCCTTTCACTCCACGCTTGATACAGGGAATCGACTCCAGAGCAAAGGGAAGTGTTCACTCAGCCAGCCTGAGCCTCCAGGGGATGATTACAGGTTAAACCAAGAAGCATGTGAGTCTCGACTCGCCTGGGCTGTCAGCCGCCTCGCGCTGCTTTTCAACTCCCGCATCCGCCTTCGCCCACTGATCCGAATCATATGGGAACCTGCTTGAGAAAGACGGCCTGATTTCCGTGGTGGAATTTCTGCAGATAAATGCAGCAGGGAGGAACAGTTATAAATAGTTAAATAAATAATAATTGTGATGTGGGAGTGCTAATTTAAGGGGTATAACATGCTTATTTAAAATATTTTAAGTAAATATAAATTAGCTTGCAAACGATGAGTGCAATTGGTTCGGGTTCAGATTTTGATCACATAAAGGCCGATGCTTCAACACTGCAATTTCCACATTAACTGGAGAGTGCTTGTTCTCACAAGCCACGAGATGTTTCTGCACTTGGTGACATGCGTTCAGCCCCAACTGGCTCCACTGCCCTCGTTGCTGTGAGTATGGGAGAGGTCTCCACAGAGCTGAGGACCAGGGCTTTGGAAGAGGGGAGAGAAGAGCTGTCCTTGTGTTGGGCTCTCAGTCCTTCATCCCAAAGCTGTTAGAGCAAAATATTTGACCATCTGTGACATGTGAAGGCGTGGGCATAGTGATCTGGGGGTCTGGTGATCTCCTTCAGACCTGAGGCAACGGAGTGAAGGCTGTGGCTGCTGGACCATCATGCAGAACACTGGTCATAAAACCCCAGGCTGGTGCTCAGCAGCTCAGTCCCCTGGTACATTGGCCATACCCCCACGTACTCTGCCCACTCCTACCACCCACGACCATGGCTTCCTGATGGCCCATGACGGGCTCCCAGCTGTGAGCAGGAGCAGCTTTCAGCAGAGCTCCCATGGTCACAGCTCTAGCAGGGTGGGTGGATGGGGACAAAGCATTTGAAAAATGCATGCAGGATGATGTCAGTGTGGCGAGGAAATGGTAGGGGCCCCATGTTGCCCTTTCATTGCAGGGCCAGTGCCATCCTTGCTCTGTCTACCCTCAACAGCAGTTTTTCCAGCCCTCCTTCCTCTTTCCCAGCCTTCCATAGGGTTATTTCTGGTATAGGGCTCAGAGACAGCAATGTGCTCAGAAACACATTGTGTAGGGGAGACCTTTTCTTGCCCCAGTTTCATGCATGCCCATGCTATGCTGGAGAGAACAAACTGGACTTCCTGCTTTCCTTGCCTCCTGGTGAGGTGACTGGATAGCAGCAACACATACCTTGTGCCTACACCATGATGAAGCGTGAGAGACGCCTCAAGCATCCTGCAAATATAGCTGTGACCTTCCTGAATGCGATTCATTTCACTTTCAAGGATTCAGGTGGCTGGCAACCATCCATGAGCGTGGAACTCAGACTCTGCTCGGTTCTGGCAGATCTGTGACCTTGTGTGCCACACAGGGACGAGGGTTTGGAGAGCATGTCATGATCTTCTCCTGAGCCAGCTCTCGAACGCACAGCTTCAGCTGTGGCTCAGCAGGACTGGTATCTCTCCGTGCCTTTAGGTGCCCATGGAGCACAAGGGAAGTTCTCCTCAGTTGTCCCATGTCACAAACAGCCTTTGACATATTCAGCCTCACCACCACCTTTCTGAGGAGGAGCAGGAAGGGTGTCCCAAATGGCACAGACACAGACCCAGGGTCACCCAAAGAGAGCAAGCTGTGAGCCAGATATCCCAGGTCCTTCCTCATTGCCTTTCTATTGACAAAGTCTTCCTCCAGTTTGTAAACTGAGTGCATTTGGTATAGACCAATGGCAGGAGAGTACCATTTTCTGCAGTCATTTTACTGTTAATGTTCCTTCATTCCACATTTCTTGCTTTAAATTTCATATTATGTATGTTCTTTACTTATGAATGGGAAAAAAATATGAGAATATTATGTTAACTTACAGCCCCATTTCATCCCATGCTAGCAAGCTAGTCTGCTAGATATCCAATGAGTGGATTTCTAAGCTGCTACTTGTTTATTTTCGTCCCTAATTGAGATTTTTTTTGTTGGGTTGAAAATAATCTTATGTTTTTCTTGGTAGAGAATCTGTGAACTGTTTGTGAGAAATTATCTCATAATATGCAGCTTGGGCTTAACTAACATTTTCCAAACAACTTGCAGAAAGATAAATTTGGGGAAACTGCATGCCTGCAAAACCCTGGCTGAACCTTTGGCTAATGTGAGATAAAACCCATGGACCGCTTGCTATTCCAGATGCTATAAACGTGGTCTTCAAAACTGCTGTGTGTCGAGAACAGAAACAACTGAAGACAAAACTTTGAGGGCACTGATAATCCCTTAATCCTTTTATTCCCTTTTTTTTTCCAACAGTTAGGGACTTTGTAAACAAATAGGCATTTATTTGAAAGGTAAAGGAAAGACATGAGAGCGGGAAAGAGAGAGGATAAGGCTGAGAATCAGAGCCGGTTTTTGGTATGACTTCAGACCAAATTTAGTTGCACAGTTGGCCACATTTTAATTAGTGCAGTCAGCTTTCCAAAGCTTAACTTTCTGTGAAGTCCAGATACTGATGAAGTCAATTTTCTTCATTTTTAGTGTATATGCTCAGCTGCCTAGTTCAGGTCCAGGTTGGCTCTGCTCCAGCAGGGCTTGTTCAGCTCACACGTGGTGGGCAGTACATAGCAGGGCCAGTGCAGCTTCTGGACACACTGGCTCTTCTAAAAAACTCTCTGCACCTAGACGCTCTCAGACTCCAGACCTCCATGCTTGGAAATACTTTTCCTATTACTCAGATTATTAAATTAACCTGGATGATGGAGAACTGACTTTATAGAGGTCCAGCAAAAGAGAATGCAAAGGTTAAACTGATTTCTAAAACTGAGGGAATCAAAGCGGCTGCATCTTCATGTGTTTAGTGTACTAGTGCTGCCAGCACCTGTGATTTTTATCAGCAGTCTCATGATACAGTGTTTTTCATAATGTTCCAGCTCACTGTGTTGGCTGATTAAGTGAGAATCTCTGTTTTTATCTTCTGGAAAAACAACCAGCACAGCTACACTTTATCTCTTGTGGTTTTAGCAAAAAGCTTGAAAGTGTATCTTCATATGCATGACAAACCTGTGAAACAAAGTGAATACAAAGAATAGTTTAGGAAAAAAATGATTCTTTTTGAGCCAGTTTTGGGGAGTCTTACTTGTGATTTTGGGGCTTGTGGGTGTGAGACATACTTACCCCTCAGGCTTTGCCACTGGCAGGTAGAGCAATTGAGCCCTCACAGCATCTTGCAACACGATAGGAACCCAAGTTAGCAGTCCTGACAAAGGTGGTTCTTCAGCACGAGGTGCATCAGCTTGCCTGGAAATGATGCAGGCGCCTTCTCTTGCCATCCCATGCCATGTGTTTCTGTTGACGGTTGCTCGTGCCTACAACTATGGGGTGATGAATCCAAGCTCAGCTCTGGGATGAGACTACGGAGAGCAGAGCAGGACCTGGAACTGGTGCTCACATTATACAAGTGGGAAATGGGCTAAGATGTGGTTAATAAAATGACAACTTGTGAATTCTACTTTGCTGCAATGAGGCCTCAGACTGGAGAGATGAAATTGTGAAGAAGAGACCAGAGAAAATCCATGCCGGTGCTTTCAGCATGCAGTGAGGCTTCAAGAGGAAATTTGCTCCTAAGATGTAATAGTTTCACTGGAACCATTGCACTTACAGCAAATATAATTAGTCAGGAAGGAATTGTATTAATTGCAGTGCATTGGAAGTAACACTTTCCTGTCAGGTAGTTTTGTGGCTGTGAAAATAAGGTTTCGACCAGGAATCAGAGTTTCAGGAATGTGGAGTCACCTCCCAGAGCTCACTTTGATGCAGCCACTTCCCTAGGCTGTACTGCTCGAATGTTGTCATCTGAGGGCATATTAGTGGCTGTCTCTGTGAAATGAGTGCATTTGCTCATTGCCTACCACAGGAGAAAAACATTATTCTGAATACAATTATTCTGACAAAAGTCCAGCTGGGTTAAGAGATGAAGAAGGGCCATAAGGGAAGAGGAGAAGGTCACACAAGTCCAGTCACCAGCTCTGTCCTTTCTCTTTTTGCAGTTGTTGCAATCTCAGGACGTGAAGGAAGACGCTGTCCTTTGCTGCTCCATGGAGGTAGGGAAGCATGCGTTTATTTGAAAGACATGACGATGAAAATGGCTTTTCTCCTCTAGATTCATTGCAAGTAGCAACACCAGAAATCACCCAATACTTATGCAGATGAGCTGTAAAACCAAGTGCCTGAGTTTCCTGGGGTTATCAAAAATCCCGTGGCCTCTTTTGCCTACTTTTTATCTAAAATGGGAATGTTAACTTTATAGCTACTCTCTCTTCCCTTGTTTTAAATGGACGCCACCTAGATTTGGTAGCTGGGTTCACATGACCAGTTAGCTACAGTCAAAACAGGTTATGTACAGGGGGTTAATTCCGGAACTAGTCTGGTGCCTCGCAAGTTTATGGAGGACTTCTTATGGAGTGAGGAGTACGAGAGAGGGGATTAGACTGCAGAGCCCCTCAGTTCAACTATAATTACTCTATTTTATATATCCATACCAAACAAGTGTCCTGCATAGCAAATCTCATGGCTCCTAGAGTGACTGGTGAGGATCCTAGTTCTTTCAAATGTCACCTGCAGATTTTTAAGCACAAAAACACCTGTATTGGAACACTAGCCACCCTGTCTTTGCTGTGCAGTAGCTCCCACAGACAGGTTTGCTGTGCTAAGTAGAAGCTTTGCTGAGAATCAGTTATAGAAATACTGCACGGAGGCAATTGCTCAGGTTCATTAGCTTTGCTTTTTGGAAGCGATTGGCCCATGGGGATATAGATGCTTTCCTTAAAAGAGCAGTGGAAGTAGGAGGCAAAATTGCAGCCTGAATGGAAGAAATAGAGCAAAATGACAGGAAGCTGGCAAGAAGCTTTTGCATTTTTAAGGTTAGAGCATCTGTCTTCGCATCCCTAACACCTCACAGACCATAAAGGCTGGTGGACCCACTGCTGTCCACTCTCCACTTCAATTCCCTCCTCTGCGGGGAGACATCTGAGAGACATCTTACCCTGCTCCATGAAGCACTCTGAGCAGCAAATTGCTTTAAAAATATATGGCTTCCCTTGGGGAAAAGGTGTGACAAGTAGAAATGCAAGCCTGGCCATTGTGCAAAGTGCACTTGTTATGCATGCGGGAGAGCCCTGCTTAGTCAGACTGGGAGTCACCGGCAGCTGTGAATCAGTGAGCAAATGAAGACCCGGTTAAAAAGAAGCGCTACCGTATCACAGCCTGCACTTTGTTTTGACAATAGCCTGGGTTTAGGTGGGATTTTTCCAAAGCATCCAGCGCCACTGCCTTTGAAGTCAGTGGGAGCTGAACCATTCGCTCCTACAGGAGCAGAGAGAGGGCCAGTGTGAGCGCTTCTGGAAACCTCACCCTCCATACACAGGGGGCAGCACTTTTTAAGGGGGAAAAAGTGGCCATTGTGGGGAAAAACAGCTCTCAAAAACGCCGTCACGGTGAACCACGTGCTGACCCCTGTCCCTCCCCGCAGCTGCAAAGCACCGGGCGGCTGCTGGAGGAGCAGCTGCCCGAGATGATGACGGAGCTGCTGGCCATCGCCCGCGACAAGATGCTGTGCCCCTCGGAGTCCATGCTGACGCGCTCGCTGCTGCTGGAGGTCATCGAGCTGCACGCCAACACCTGGAACCCGCTGACGCCCACCATCACACAGTACTACAACAAGACCATCCAAAAACTGACAGCCTGAGGCGGCCGGTGAGGGCGGGCGGCTGGGGCTGGGGGGGCCGAGCAGCAGACACGCACCTTACGAGGCAACAGGCCAGCAGTGGAGCAGGAAGCCGGGACCTTTCCGATTTCCATAGCTAAGGAGACACGCCCCCCAGCATGATTACGAATACGGTCGCGGGGTGGGAGCAGCATGTTTATTTTCAGCCGCCGAGTGCCACCCCTCTTCCCCTCCCCGCCGCGGTTTTGTCTCCGGGTTTCTTTTCCGAAGCGGTGGCTCAAATGGTGGCGTGTCTGGGCATTGTCTACCCGGAGAAAAGGCTGCACGGGAGCCTCTGGGCGAGGAGAAGTGCCAGCTTCATGTTGTATGCGCGCTAGGCTGCCCGTCGTCCTCACTGGCCGGCAGGACACAGTGCACAGCAGATGGCCTGGGTGGATAAAGCGCGCCAGACGCCAGCAGCCAACAGCTTTTGTGAGCGGTGCTTTCATCATCCCTTCTGTCCTTGTCTTGTCTTCGCCTCGGTGTCCCCACCTCCGTTCCTTCTGTTCTCCACTCCTCCAAAACCGGATCTGAGAGTAGGACAGATTTGTATTTGCACTGGGTTTTCTTTTTTTGGGGAGTTATTTTATTTCATTTCATTTTGTTTTATTTTGTTATTTGGGATGGACAGACGCAGTCGACTTGGAAACGTGGCTATGACGCGAGCTCAGAAATGGTTTACATGAAGATGCGAAAATGGAAGGAGAATTTTCAAGAAGTCCAAAAGCCACTATAGAAGTACCGTAGCCACAGTTGTCTTGCCAGTAACCCATTAGAGTAATTGAAAAATGTGTGCTCCGATCTGGCAGCTCCAAGAAATAGAGGAGCCCTGCGGCTGTTTGCTCTTGCTGTCAAAGCTGCGGCATCCCTCATTCACTAAACTATAATCCATTTATTTTGGGATTTTTTTTTTGCTTGTTTCTTTCTGTCAAAAGAGTGCTTTGTTGTAATTACTGTCATAGTTGTAATTATACATTTAAACCCAGGTCTGTTATAATTGAGCCAAATAGTGTGAAGGCAAGGAAGAAATGAAGACTTGATGTTCTTCTTCGGAAAATGGTAAAGAGAAGACAAGGAGTGCATGGCAAGAAGAAAAGCCAAAAACACAGGTTTTCAAGCCTGGCTTTTAACTAGTTGAATTCCCTATCCGGTGTTTCTAGGCTTGTGTTGTGCAGGAACAGCTCGAACGTGGAATAGTCTTCCCAAGAGCATGTCCTGGAGGGAGCCAGTCTCATGGCATGGGTAGGTGCTAAGAGGGGAGCCAGTGGCGAGCAGGGAGGAGCCAGGGGAGATGAGCACTAGTCCTGAAGCGCATGCAGATTGGGCAGAGAAGTGGCAGCTTCTGCACATCTGGGTTATGAAATCTCTGTTCTGGCCCAAGAAGAGTGAAACTGCCCTCCAAACCCTTCACACCACTCCAGGCCAGGAATATTGACAGAAAACACAGATGTTCAAGCAGGTTGCAGTACTTTGTCCTCATGTGTAGCACAAGCGATACATTCCAGGAGGGATGAGAGCCTGGTACTTATCGCTTGCACTCAGATTAACTTCCACCAAGTTTTGAAGTCCAGTTGACTCCCTTGGGTTTATTTCTGGATGTGCAGATCCGCTCGGGCCCTGTGTTGGAGACATGCTTTGAAGCTGCTCGTTTCAGCAGCTCTCTATGAGTCAAGAGGGGTTGGCCAAGCCATGACTTCACTTCCTGAAGAGTGACCAGGAAATGTCAGGACTTGGTGATTTCCTTATTTGCTTCTTTATCGATGCTTTTACTTACTAAATCACTTCTGGTGCTTATTTTGATGAAGTCTAACAGGAGGTGGCAGTTTCCCTTTTTTTGATCTGTGTGGCAAAAGGCAAGCCAAGGAAACCCTAGTCCCACCATCTTATCTTGCTGTCTGAGCAACCACCGGACAAGGAGGTCACACAGTGAAGATCCATGTGTGAGACCCACCTGGCTTCAGTGTTGCCGCAGGTCTAGGAAGACACTTAGTGCTTTCAGAGTTTACAAGACACACACCAAACTATTCGCAAAGGCAGGCTGTGTTTGGGTCACTGCTTGAAACATGTACATGCGTGATTGGAGAGGTCTACTCCGATTCTTTTTCTTCTTTTTCTTCCCATTATTCAATATACTTTACCTTGGTAAGAAGAGAATGGTCTCCACCTCACGGAAGAGGAGTATGATGTTGGCCAAACACAGACCCAAGCCAGGTGCTCATCCCCAGACAGTCCAGATCTGAACTCCTCACTTCAAACCCATTTCCCCAAGCAAGATGTTGTATTTGTGCCAGCTTATAGAAGAGAACAGAAATTTCCTCCATTTTTTTTCTGGTGTTATGTGTGTTCTGGGGTGCTGTATGAAGATATTGGTCTGGCTGTGATGGGGAGGAAGCTTTCATGAAGTACATGGCACAATCTGAGGGACAGAAATTTTCGACAGAGAAAATGCTGTAGGAGGAGAGGTGGTTCAATTCAGTATTTTTTGGTTCAATACTATGTAAACTTTTCATCTGCTTGTCTGCTGATACTTTTTCTAATCCATACATGAAGCCAGAGAAAATGTTGCAGGGAACAGAAATGTCATTTTTCATGTCTATGAAGAAAGCAGTAAAATAATGTGCTGGACGTCTGTGGAAGGACTAATGTCTAGGTTGTAACATCAACCGGACTTGTCCGGGAGGTGAGCATGGTGAAGATGGTGGCTTGTGTTAGAGCAGCTCCGTTAGTTCTGCTGTCAGAAGGCAAAGATGGTTGATAGCAGATATCTCTGGGAAGCTGAACTTCATCGAAACAGCAAAACCCATCAGTATTGTAAGGACCAGGATTGCACTCTTTGTTTTTGGCCTTTCCTGATGGAAATGAGACACAGCCAGTCCAAAATATTCATTAGGTCGCTGCATCTGTTGAGCTGCTGTTACTTTTGCAGACCTTGGGAGAAGGCCTTCAAAACAATTTTCATTTTCCTTTTCAAAGAGGAGAAAAATCGCATAATACCTGTCTGATGGGCAGGTGTACCAGAGAGCCAACCAGCAAATGCCTAGGACAGTAAATCCACCCTCAGTTGCCCATTCTTCTCTTCCTGATTTGCAGAACAATCAGGACTGTGGATTCTGCATCTTCCCTCTTCCACTTCCCCCTGTATTTGATATCTGAATGTAGTGAAAGAAGAAAAAAAAAAAGCAGCAGCAGCCGCCTAGAGAAGAGCTGGAAGTTTTGTTTCTAAACCCTGAATTTTCACCTGGCACTGTGTTAGGAGTCGTTCAGAGTCAAAGTGCGAGCCTCATGACAGTAATTCTGCTTAAGTGCTTCCCCACTGCTAGGCATGAGGGGATTGTTTTTTTTTTGTTTTTGTTTTTTTTTTCCTTTACTAGAGGTTGCCATTGAGATGCAGTCCTATAACTCAAGCTGACCAGATTTGGGCCATAATGTCTCATTGCTGGGATTTCTCCCAATCTTTGGACAGCATCTAAGAACTTCTCATGTGTAATCTGTCTTTTATAATGTCTGTGAGTTATTGCCACCATTTCATTAACGCAAGTTCATTCAGACATTAACTGCTTCGTAACAGAGAACTTCAGTTGCTCCATTAATATGTAAGAATCTAAATGTTGACCAAATGTATTTTTTCGTGAAAGTCTGTGCTGCCAACCATATCTTTTCAGTCCATGAGTGATGAGCCAGCGTACATAGAGTGTCATGAACCACTGCAGCATTGCAAACAAGCGAAGAAGTGACTCCTCTCCAATATTGCCTCTGGTCTGAGGTTTCTGCTTGGGTTTGGTTTCCAAGTCTCAGAATCCAGCAGCTGCATCTGGAGGTTGTGTCTGAAAGGGAGAAGGTCACCAATGACTCGCTGGTGCCAGTATCGCCTGCTGGGGAAGGCACTGCCGGTGTGGGAAGAGATGTTCTGATATAGTTGGATGGGGAGAGCCTCACTTATCTCTGTAGAGCAGATCTGGGGATTTGCTGCTGTCATGATGCTTGGGGAGAGCACCTAGAGAAATCAAGTGCTTTCTTCTGTTTTTTTTTATTATTATTATTATTATTTGGCATCCTTTACAGAAGGTTGCCAAAGAGTGTAATTCTGTAAGATGCATCAAATGGATTTTTGAAGTTGTGAAGCCACTGTGTCCGTCTCCCCCCGACGTATTAGCCAGATTCACTCTTTGCTTCTCAGTGTACATAGTTGGGGCACTTCCAACGTTGTCTCCCTAAGGCTAAATCAACCAGGAGGAGAATATCCTCCTTGGGCCAAATGCATGACGGGCCAAACCTGGGACTGGATGTGAGTGGACGAATTACTCTATGGAAGCGCCCGGATGAAGAGCAGCTCCACGGGCTGCCGAGCAGTGCGGTGCTTAGTCCTCTGCCAGAACCCATACGGCGTCCAGCTCACCTTGTTCCAAGCAAAATTATTCCTGAACTGAAGCTTTTACCTTTCCACAAAGTGGCCCACTTGTTTCCCTGTGAGGGATTGCACTCTGGGTTGGAGAAGACTCGTTTGCATGGAGGTGAAATGAAAATGGGGGGGGAAATGGCAAAGTAAGCAATATGTGCTTGGTTCCCCTCTTCTCTCAAAGGAGGTTAATTAGTATCTATTCTTGACATGATTGATGACTTAGAAGAGCAGCTTGTCAGAATAACTTATGATTTATTTTTGTGCTTATTTTTATAATATCCCTCACTTGGAAGTCTCACAAAATCTTAAATATGATTTTTATTTCCCCACTGGGTATTTTACGGCTTTACACTAATTTTGCTCTTCTCGGTGTTCGTTATTAGCCAGTCCTGGTGATCCTTCTAGCATTTTTTTAAGGAGGAGGAATGACACTAAAGGTTTCAAAGAAGTCCCCTGTTACTAGCCAAGGGAGCTGTGGTGTCCTGCAGAACACAGAGTTAATGCTAGCAGTTCTTTTCTTTTAATGTATTTATTTGCATTTGAAGAAAGCAACATTTTTAATGTAATCATATTTGTTAAACTAAACGCTTTAAAATAAAAGAAAA